GGATGGATGTCACGGTTGCCCTTTAAGTCTGGAGTTAATTAGAATTGTCACCATGCATCATTACCCTGCACGGCGGGTGAGCAATGGTCGGGCAGCTGTTACTTCCTGTTGCAGTGGTGTGGGGGGTTTTTTTTCCAAAAAAAGAAAAATATTACAATTTATATAAAAGTTGTATAATGACGTATATGGTATTGTAAATGTATAAATAATTAGTTTTACTTCTTCTGGGTAGAGTGTGTGATTTTTATAGGTACACATCTAGCTCGTAAAGGGCCAACTTTGGTGCTTAAAGGAGATTACTATGGGGAAAAGCCCTGACCCCATAGTTCTCCTTTTTAAGCTGGCCATACACTCTTCCTTTTTTTTTTCTCATTCAGACCCACTGATTGGCTGCAGCCACTGTTCAGCCAAGAATGATCAAACCACCTCTTTTGACATTGGTAGAACTTGGGGTGGGGGAAGCTCGCATGAGGGCCACAAACTGGTTGTGCTTTGGCCAAGACGGCAGGATAAATATGACCAGTGCAAGGTCAGCCTAACCCCTCCCCGGCACCCCAGTGGTGAGATATCTCAACAAAATCAATAGATTCCACCCAATAAAGTCCTATTTTACATCTTTTTGATGGGAAGTATTGGATTCCCACAGCTTCCTTTCTGCCCCAGAACAAACACAGGTACACTTTAATGGAAGCCTTTTAGTAGCTACTCTCCATCCCTTAGTTTCTTTGCTGATTTGTTTGGCTGCTAGGATTGAAGAGGAAGCCCCGCCCCCGAGGGACATCAATGGGTGCCTATGCAGGCCGATTGCAATCTCTTTCTTGTCCGAGGTGGAAGTGAAGCGGCGCGAGCCACGTGTTACTAGTGACAGAATCATGAAGACGACTACAGAGTACCTTTTTTTTAGGCCTCATTCACACGAGAAATGGGCGGCACGTACAGCTGCATGCAGGGCCGTATCGGGCAGCTCCCGGAAAGGACGTGTGCTGCGTGTGATTAGTACGCAGCCCCCGTCCTTCTCCATGAGACTACGCCGCCGTACGCTCACCCCAAGTACGGGTGCCCCGGCTCGGACGCAGACAGGATCCATCCTGTCAGCGTACGAGTACGGAGACAGTAAGGACGTGCGGGGCAGGTGAGCGTAGGGCAGCGTACGGCCGCGTATTCCCATAGAGGACGGGGGCTGCTTACTAATCACACGCAACACCTGTCCTTCCCGGGAGCTGCCCGATGCGGCCGTGCACGGAGCTGTACGCGCCGGCCGTTTCTCGTGTGAATGAGGCCTTAGACATTCCACTTAAACCAACAGACTTGAGTACACCCCTATAACAAAATATATTGCAAAATTCTAGATCGGGGTAGGCAACCTTGGCACTCCAGCTGTGCTGAAACTACAAATCTCTTCATGCATCTGCCACGGCTGTCAGATTGCAATGCCCCATTAGACATTCCGCTATCTGAAACCAACCAACATGGGCACATTGTTAAAAAAATCTTCTAGATGGCACATGACATGATGGGGCGGGGTTTGCTGATGAGGGCCACACACACACACACACTCACACACACACACTCTTCGAATTTCAGCTGCTCCATGGTAGCCCTGTTGCTGGCTCCCCCCCGACATGCTTTGACGCTGTAAGGTCCCCTTTATTGAAGACAGAGGCCAGCCGCTGGCACAGAGGGTCCAAAGATGTGTGATTGTCTGCAGGACTAGAGATGGCTCCTTGGGGGTGAATTTAAAACCAATGATGATTTACAGAAGGTCAATGATCGCTTTTGCCTTGGTTGGCCTGTATCCTGCAATCTGTAGACTCGGCTCCCTTTTATTCTATATGTGGCTAATGAAGTCCTTGACCTTGGCCAGCCAGCGCTGTCAGCCACGTCCCGCCTTGTGTTTAATCTTGTGACTCTTCAATAGACAGTAGACTGAGCACGTCCCTGTTCTATTTAAGGAGAAGTCGGCGTGCTTGTTCCCCAGGAGGCAGCAAAGAGGTTTTCATTCCGTGCTGACAATCGCAGTCTATACTGAGAGCTCCATTATTTCTAGTGTCAGTGTGAACTCTTTCCTGGTGTCGCCGCCCTGCGATTCATATCCTGTTTATGAGAACATATGTATCGGTGCGGTGTTAATATTCCGAAGCTTTTTACACGTCAGCTGACGGGCGGAATCGCTCCCAATTTACAAGGCCTAATCTTCAATTCGCCTCCGTGGGTGCGACTGCAAGGCTAATAGGGCGTGAAATAATCTAATTTCTCGCCCTATTAGATTCAAAGGACGGCTTCAGACAGATTGAATAGAAGAAGTTCTACTTCATTATAGTATTTGAGTTTGGCCCGTTCACTGAAATGATCTGATATTGCTTTATAGAGCAAATGGCACAGATCAAAAGATGAATCTGGAATGGGCTATTTTGAACAGGGGTGGGCTATCTCGGCATGCCAGCTATTGCAGAACTACAAGTCCCATGAGGCAATGCAAGAGTGACAGCCATGGGCATGACTCCCAGAGACAGAGGCATCATGGGATTTTTAGTTTCCGTACAGCTGGAGTGTCGAGATTGCCAACCTCTGATCTAGAATTTCGCTATTTATTTACTGCAGGTATCTATATGACGCCAACAATTTACATAATGCACATTCACATCAGTCCCTGCCCCCAAGGAGCTTACAATCTGAGGTCTCTATCACAGATGTATACAGGACCAATTTAGACAGGAGCCAATTAACCAGCGTGTCTTTGGAGTGTCGGAAAAGAAACCCACACAAGCACAGGGAGAACATGCAAACTCCTTGCAGATAGTGTCCTGACTGGGATTCACAGTGTCCAGATGTATCCCCTGCACTCCTTACACCAATAAGGACCACATGGTGAACCGCGGTGCTCGGAGTGATGCCGCACGGCGCCATCCGTGATCTATGAAGTCTTGAAAGTAATGAAGTGTGTCGCATGCAAGACCAACGTTTCGGGGCCACGTAGGGTCCCTTCATTAGGGTGACATATTGACCAGGGTTCAAACTGGTGAGCCCAGTGCTGCAAGGCAGAAGTGCTAACCACTAAGCCAATGTTAGGGACGTGCATATCGGGACATTTACAAGCTCTGTCACCTGGGCGTGCCACATGTTACTCACCAGAGACAGAATCATGAAGACAACTACAGAGTACGTTAGACATTCCACCATCTTACTACACAAACTACACCCATTGCTGTCCCTCGGGGGTTGGGGCTTCCTCTTCCTGCCTAGTGGGTAAACAGGTTGGCAAAGAAGCGAAGAGATGGCGAGTAGCTGCTAATAGGATTCCAATAAAGTGTACCCGTTGCTTTGGGGCAAAAATAAGGCCCCCGGAATCCAATATTTCCCTTCAAAAAGACAGCAAAATATTACTTTAATTGGGTGGAATCTATTGATTCTGTTGGGATATCTCACTGCTGGAGTCCTTGAGAGGCATAAAGATGACCATACGCTGGTCAAATTTCAGACCAGTCATGATGACGTGGCCGAAGTTCGTGCAGCTTGAGGCCCCTCGAATTTAAGTCGAATTCCAACTTTTTAATTTCAGTTTAAACGAGAAGTCCAGCATTGGAAAAAAAAAATTGGATTTCATTACAACACTCGCCTTCCCCCACAGTGAACCAGTGTCAGCCCTTTTTCAGGTTGAATCAAGCTACTCCTTGTGAGCCCGGGGTGTCATTCTGCCACCCGTCTGGAGGCACATCATCGCAGTGCCCTGGTCACACAGTACAGTGATGCATAATAAGGAGCTGATGTCACAGGGTCAGCGACACTTTATATCATTGAGGACCACCGAGCACCAGAGAGGAGGTGAAGAAGACCTTGTGTGTCATGTGACCAAAATTATTAAAATGCATGCCAATTGGCCTCCAGATAGAAACGGGGGAATGACTGACGTTAGGGGGTTGAACTGAAATCCAGCTGTAATACTATTTGTCCTCGGAATGTCAATGTTTGAACCCTATAGTCTTGTGTCTGTCCCAGTAATATTTTATCGTCTGTCTTGTTCCTGCAGGTTCTGGTGCCTTGTAAGGGGAGCATAACGAGCAGTTTATTCGCTGGCTGCTACTTTGAATCATATGTTCTGAAACCCAACGAAGGAGGCTTTCTGACCGAGGATGGAAAGGTAAGGACAATTACAGTTCTTGCTGGTAGTTGTGATGGGTATTGTCCAAATCTGTGCTCTGAGGATGGACCTCTGATTTGAGGACCTTTTTGAGGATGGACCTCTGATTTGAGGACCTTTTTCAGGATGGACCTCTGATTTGAGGACCTTTTTTGAGGATGGACCTCTGATTTGAGGACCTTTTTGAGGATGGACCTCTGATTTGAGGACCTTTTTTTTGAGGATGGACCTCTGATTTGAGGACCTTTTTTTGAGGATGGACCTCTGATTTGAGGACCTTTTTTTGAGGATGGACCTCTGATTTGAGGACCTGTGCCAGTTTTTTTTAGTGATGCAGCACCGTAGGGTAGTGCAAATGATAAATGAGCGTTTGACATTCCTGCCTTGCAGTTTCAGGTCTCAGGTTTTATTGCCCCCTAGGACACTATCTACATCTGCATGGTTTAATATGACAATTCATGTGCGTACTAGAGTATAATTGTGGTGGGGATGTTGGATCATGCATGGGGCAGGGACTGATGGCAATGGTTGAAGTAAGGACCTGTGTACATGGGCTTTTGTTTTGCCTTAGAACTGCTTTCCTCCCCAAGTCAGTGGGCATGCCAGAGAAGCTTGAAACAGCTTTGAGGGAGAACAAATGCACCTGTGAAGCATCTTGGATGGTTAAAGAACTCCAGGCAATGTAAAAATTAACCCTTGCAATGGAGCTACTCCTAGACCCAAATGTGCAGTTACGTTTGTTGTGTGGTGGTAGCCCCACTGCAAGGTTTAATTTTTACATTGCCTGGAGTTCTTTAACTTGGAAGCATCTTAAAATAATCTGAAAAGAAGGCAAATACCACTGAAATGACCTTGTTTGCATATGCTGAGATATTTGCTTTTGTAATGCAGGTTTTCCCTTGTGCAGTTTTCACCTGCTGACTGCCCCACATGCATTTCCTGCCCTAGAGGGACAAAGCTTGTGCATAGACGTATAGTACCCTAGAAGAGTGCTAACACTGGTACTACTGGTTCACTGTGCGTCTGTTTTTTAGCAATTTTCAGATGCACTTCTTCTTCTTTTTTTTTTTTTTACGAATTACACGATCTCTCTTCAAATCCACATCGCTTGCACTGATGTGCACACACAGACCCAGAAGCAATTGAATTCAGCAGTCGTTGGGACTTTAGTGCTGGAATCCAGAAAAACAAATTTCAGTCTTACATAGTTACATAGTTACATAGTATTTGGGGTTGAATAAAGACATACGTCCATCAAGTCCAACCCATATAGGTCCACGCATCATCTCATTCTTGGGGATACTGGTATCCCTGGATATTACGGACCCTCAAGAAATTGTCCAAACGTTTCTTGAACAAATCTACACTCTTGGCTGAAATCACTGCCGGTGGCAGTGAGTTCAAGACCTTAACCGCTCTTACTGTAAAGAACCCCCTTCGCCCATTGTGCTGGAAATTTTTCTCCCCCAACTTTAGGTGGTGGCCTCTAGTCTTTGTAATGGAGTTAATCTCAAACAGTTTGTTGCCAATGTTGCTGTCACCATTGAACATCTTGTACATGAAAATCATATCCCCCCCCTTAATCTCCTTAATTCCAGCGTAAACATGTTTAAGGTCAGAAGCCTTGACTCATAGCTCTGGTCCTCCAGCCCCTCCCCCTCCTCCTTGTCTCAAAGCTCTGGTCCTCCATTCCCCTAATTAGTTTTGTTGCCCTCCGCTGGACTCTCTCCAGTTCAAGGACATCCCTTGGTCAGGCGACCAAAACTGGACCGCGTAGTCCAGATGTGGCCGAGCCAACGATCTATATAGAGGCACAATTATAGACTTGTCCCTGCAATACATCCCCTTTTTATTACAGGACAAGACCCTGCTAGCTTTCTTTACCACAGCTTGGCACTGCAAGCTACCATTCAGTTTGTGGTCTACAATGACCCCCAAATCTTTTTCTATTTCTCTAGCGGCATACCCATGATTGTATAGCCTATTTATTTATTTTTATGTCCAAAGTGCATTGCTTTGCATTTATTGACATTAAACCTCATCTGCCATAGTATTGCCCCTCCCCCTATTTTATCCAGGTCCTCCTGCAATGTTATATTGTCACGATCCGTTTCTAGTACCCTCCCTATTTTTGTATCGTCTGCAAACACGGAAACATGGCTATTTATTCCCTCCCCGATGTCATTAATGAATAGGTTGAACAGTATCGGACCCAGCACAGATCTTTGAGGCACACCGCTCATTACACTAGCCCAGTCCGAAAAGGTGCCATTTACAGATATTCTCTGGACACGTTCCCGTAGCCAGTTCTCTATCCACGTACACACCACCTCATCTATGCCCATAGCCCTTAGCTTGTGAAGTAAGCGCTTGTCAGGTACCGTATCAAATGCCTTTGAGTCTGTCTTGTATTTTGCAGGAGGTTTTTATTCAGGGGACCCAGGTCAAGTTGGGCACTGGTTTCGCCTTCTCTCTCTCCATACCCATCCTGTTTGAGGAGACCTTCTACAATGATAAGGAGCAGAGTTTCAGTGTCCTGTGCATTGCCCGGTCACTAGAAAAAGATGAGAATCCAGGTATGTGTAGCCTTCCTTCCACCTCTGAATTGTGTTCCTGCAGCTAATAAAGCACTTGATAATGACACCTACAAAACTCTATGTTGTTGAGCTTTATAACATGCCTGAAATTATTATATTTTGGTTGTAGCAGAACTCCAAGAAAGACAAAGAACGCCTCCCAATTTTAGTTTTCTTGAAGGATCTCTTTAAAATAAATAAAGAGTTCTTAAACATCAACGGCTATGTTGTTGTCTAAAGTGACCCATTGCCCATGAAGGGAAAATGAAAAGGGTCCCTTAATTCCACACCCTCCCCAGCAGCATGTACTTTCCTTTGCTTCCTCGGAGCTCCGTTCAGCCACCAGGAGCAAATGAAACACAAGCAATGGAGCAATATGACTTGCTGCCTCTCTCAGGTTACAGCACAAGTTGCATTGTGATTGGCCCAGTTGCGTCAAAGGGAAGAAGTTAAATCCTTGCATAAGCTGGCAAGATGGTTTGTGGTGTACGCAGGGTTTTCTTTCCCCAGTCCTGGGTGGAAAGGTAAGTACATGTTGTTGGGAAGGAAGTTGAGTAGCTCTTCCGTTTTCCTTTGATGGGTCATGCATGCTTGCCACCACCTTGCAGTCTTGAAGCCATTGTTGTTTCTTCTGTATAGCACAGAGGGTAGAAGGAGCAGGCATGCCACCTCCATTCACTGTTCCTGATGAAGATGAACCCAACCACTGTGTCTTTATCATGGGGCTAACTGGTCACATTAAGCAGGTGAACCTTGGCTTCTATTGGAGCCTAAACGCTTTGGTGTTTTACTTTGTAACTCTTTGATGGCATGTTAGAGCATTTTTTTCTTGAATGAAAATTCTCTTAAAGGAGAACTATGAGGTGAGTGCTTTTCACTCACCTCATAGTTCTAGCCGACCTGTGACAATGACACTGTTGCAGGTCGGTCCAGTAGATCGGGAGGTGAGCGAACACATACCGGCGTTCGCTCACCTCTCGATCCTGTCACGGCTCTCTGCCATGACAGGGGAGGGGCTGGATTCCCCCCTCCCCGCTCCGATCCTCCAGCGCTGACTGGCGGAACGGACGGGGGAGGGGGCGGGTACAGCTGGCATCGGCTTCTAGATAGGCAGAGCCAGCTGTGACTCATGCAGCTGGGCGGATCCCGGCACAATTGTCGGGATCCGCTTCGGCTGTGGCGGTCTCAGTATACACAGCTCGTGGTATACTGAGCCTAGGGTGACGGGAGGATGCTAGTTTGTGTCCTCCCGTTACCCTAAGGAGAACTACGGGGAAAAGCCTTAACCCCATAGTTCTCCTTTTTAACTGGGAGGAGTTTGGCTACAAGTTTTATCTAAGGGACAGGTAAGATGAGAGAGGGACAAGCATGGATGCCTTATGGAGGAATTCCTGGATACTGGTATTTGTCATGTGTTGTTAAAGCTACATCCACCCAAAGCTCCTATCAGTTCGGAAAAATAAATGACAACTTTGTGCAGTATAAACGTTTGTCACTTTCTCATTGCAACAGAGTACGGTCTTACCCAGCCACTCATTTAACATTTTAATGATTACAGATCAACCTACCACTGCACCGCCCAATACCTGCACTTTAAAAAACATCGAGGATGTGAGGGAATTCCTGGGGAAACACACCGATCGATTCGACAAAAACATCACCTCATTCCGCAACGCGTTTAAAGTCCACGAAAGGAGGAGTCTTCGGCATTATATTGTGAGTGTCCTCGTATGCTGAGTGCCTGTCTGTGTCTATAGTAGCATAGTAGTGTGTGCTCTTCCTGACACATGCCTATAGTGTGTGTGTGGGCTACAGAAGTACTTCCCCACACCCTCTCCCAGTGCCTGAAACATTCAGTCCTAGGATTGGACAATGATGTTCCGTTGGCTGCAGTAACAATTTGCCTTTTCGTTTGTGTTGCACCTTCTATTCCAGTAGGGGGATGCATCTGTCTTTAAGGACCCAAGCTATAAGCTTGTCGGACCTCTATCCGATCCTGGCTGTGGCCTTATGTTGTCGAACCCATGTCCGGCCGGTCCAAGTTACCCTAGTTGATCCCTCGTTTATGGAACGCATGGAGCAGATGGCTGTAGCCGTCGGTTTGCTGGAAGCCTCCCGTCTCATTTCATGCATGTGTCATGTCAATTCAGTATGTATGGGGCGCTTTAGACAAAGTGCCAGACTGCAGAGCCCGTGTGAAACCACGTGGCCTTTCGAGGGACACAGTCTCATTGGACAGGCTCTTGATAACATCATCAAGGATGCTGCTGGTGGCAAGAGTAGCCATCCCATCTTCCTCAGCCTAACCGCCCTAAGGAGCAGACTATGAATTCTGTACATGTCATTTTTATGCTACCCGGGGGCTCGGGAATCCTGAGTGCTACACAAGACAAGTGTTTGAAACTTCCTGGTAGCGGTACACACTACACGAAATGCTTCTATTGACCCATCACTATGATGGACATCCTTACCAGAAAGTGTCAATTCTTGCTTGTGTAAGCTCTTCAGAATGTGGGGTACAGAAGAAGGCATGTAAAGGAATGTGTAGGCACCTGCAATGTACTTCTGGAGCCTGTTCTGATACTCTGTGATCCTGCCAGGTGGGCTTTTATATATGCATTTCAACTGTTTGTCCCGAGTTGAGCTCTAATAATATATATTATGTGTTTGTTCCTTCTAGGACTCTGTTAATGCCCTTTACACAAAATGCCTCCAGCATTTGCTCCGAGACTCACACTTGGTAAGTATTTTAATTCCTTCATTTCCCTACCGCAATCACACCTTCAGAATATAGTTTCCCAAATTCCCAACACACAGTCAGAAGGCTTCATTTATAGAGAGTGGGGAAATGTGTTACCCGCAGAACCATACAGAAATCTGCTTTTGTCCTCTGACCTGTTTCGGAAAAGTTATCATGGAAAATCTCTGGTTTTCAGTTCATCCACCATGACGACCTTTGGCATCAGACTTTTGACCCCTATGACCTGACTTAGGAAATATGAAGTCTAAAAGTTTTGAACTCCCCACCTTTTAGCATTTTCTTTCTTTTCATGGGACAGCTTGTGGACAGTTGATTTATCGGGTTCCATACCTTCTGTAGAGACTTAAGTTGGGCGGTTCTGTGTTTTTCTAATCATGTTAATCAATGAGATTCGGTCAGTTAAGGGGCTGTCCCGGAGGATGAACTGAAAAAGCAAAAGAACATTTTACCTAAAATTGAGTTATATGGACTTGCTCCATTAAAGAGGAGAGGTAGGGCCGGGTCTTTTTTTTAACCTTGCTCCTGCTGTCCCCAGGCAATAGCCCTTACATTGGTGCCTCTGTGAATTTCCACTCATCTTAATCAATGGTTTTCGGTCAGTTAAGGGGCTTTCATGGAGGATGAACTGAAAAAGCAAAACTAAGTTTACCTAAAATTGAGTTATATGGACTTACTCCATGGAAAAGGAGAGGTAGGGCCGGGTCTTTTTACCTTGCTCCTGCTGTCCCCAGGCAATAGACCTTATGGGAAAGAGTATCTAAAGCCAAAACCTTTATTTAGTTTTGGAAAGTGTGGTCAAATATTTATTGCCATCTCCTTCTTCCCTCTGTTTCTCCAGGTGATGTGGCAAAATCCAGAGCAGGAATGGAGGGTAAATCTCCCAATGGGTGACATTTGCTCTCACTTCCTGTTGTGGGTAGGAAATAAAAAGACACCGGGAGGAATTTATCAAAACTGGATCAGACAAAATCTGGAGACGATTTGCACAGCAACCAATCAGCTTCTCTGTCTCATTTTCAAATCCTTACCTGAGCAAACTGAAGGGAGATGCTGATTGGTTGCCATGGGCAACTGCTCCAGATTCTCTCTGTTTCCAGTGTTGATAAATTCCCTCCTCAGAGTTTTCACCATTCAAAATGGGGGGGAAAACGTTTTTGGTATACTTTTAAGGGAATGTCGAGGAGAATTCCAAGAAAAGCAATTAACGGTAGGCGTGTTTTTTATATTTCCAACACACAGAAATCTGCGAAAGGCCTTTATTTTCTTGTAATACTGTATCTGGTATCAGGACGGGTTGAGGTCAGGTCTGTCTTCTGTGACTGTTCTAAGAGGATGAAAAAACTTTCAATCACTCCACCTTAGCTGTTGTAAATGATACAGATACATGAATGTAGTATATTATTTGGAAGTATGTTTCTGTTCTATAACCATCACCCTGTGTTCTGCAGAGGTCTATTGCCAAGCAAGAGGGTCAGATGAATTTGATGAAGCAAGCAGTGGAGGTAAGGAAATTAGCCTTGCTCCAGCATTGACCTTTCTCTTTTCCTTGTCATGGCCTTCTTACCTTAACCCCTGCAGGCACTATTGAATGTCAGCCTGTACAAGTGTAGCAATACCGTCAGCATAATCCCAAGTTTAATTACGTGCCGTGCATTTCTGATAAATGTTTTTATCCCTTTTAGATGTATGTGCACCATGGAATTTATGATATCATCTTCAAACAAGTGGGGACCATCGAGGCAAGTGAGGTACGGCTCCTGGGGAGGAGATGGGGGGGGAGGCAAGCAAATCTGTGCAGTTTCTATATCCCTTTTAATGATGTGATAGTTTTAGGTGAATAATTAATAACATTTTATATATATATATTTTACATACATACATACATACATACATACATACATAC